TGTGCTGTTTTTCATTCAATATTTTGACAGCAGCAGGGTTTGCCTACATGGGAAAGAGGTTGCGGTTGTGATGGACATAATAGGGAATAGTTTCTGCAGGCACTGAAAGGAGAGGAAAGGGAAGAAGGGGGAAAGATCAGAAGGGAAAGATGCAGTGGAAAACAGAGTGAACACCTAGAAGAAAATGAAACTTGCAGCTCTGATGCTGCTAACAATACTGAAGATATCTCTGCTTTTTGTACTGAGGTTTTCCAGTTTCTCCTACAGCCATCTAAGCTACCTGTGCCTTCTATTGGGAGCTTACCCTTGCCATTCAAGGGACCATAGCTGCACCCCATACCCATAGTCAAGCCTGCATATGCCACCTGCCAAAGTCTGATCAAGCTTGGACCTGTCACTAACATCATCTGTGAGTATTCCTTTGTCCTCATGTAGGCAGGTGCCTACAAGTGATTTTTGCTTTAGCTAGGTAGTTGTTCTGACCAGACTGGGTAGGGGTTAACTGCCAGGATCTTGGTTTCCTGGACAAGTACCAAAGTTCCACAGGAAACTGCCAGCCTCTTGGAGCTCACAAGATATAGACATGCACCTGCAAAAGTTATGCCTGGACAGCCACCTCCTAGTCAGTTAGGGCCTGGACTGTGCTGCGCTTGTATTTCTTGCGCCATAAGAGTCTACAGTAAACTTTGTTAACTGTCCTAAAGCCTGGTCTAAAGTTACACTAAAGGGGTGCATGATGGTTTCTGGCATGTGAAAGAACAGGGCCAGTAAAGTACATATGGGGTACAGAAGCAAGGCCGCTACAAAGGGTTAACTTGGCAGAAAGTGTGGAGGAAGTGAACAGTTGCCACACGTAACCAAGGACTGGTGAAAAGTGAATAGCAGCCTTTTTATCAAGCATGGCACCTGACATGGCAGAAGGCCCTTCGGTAGTGAGGGAGTCATTTATCTGGCTTCCTCCCTAGCGGTCAGTTCCCCAAAAGTATCTGGAACCGAACCTGTGGTACAGAGACCTCACTGCCTAGCCACATGGTATGGGAGAGTATAAGGAGTTAATTTTGTGCACGCTATGTACACCGCAAAGACCCCATTCTGTCACTGGGAGTGAGGTGGCAGAGGTACACTAGATGGGTGGAGAGGGCTCAGGCTCAGGGGTGTCCTTCCTGAATGCAACCACTCACAGGCAAGGTGTGCAGTAACACGGGACAGTATGCCTCACAGAGGGACTCTGTACATTTAGCTGCTGCACACAGTGTATGGCTCATCTCCAAGTGGGGTACCACTATATTATTTGACTTCACATGATCGAGGCTGTTCTTGGTTTCCGGGCATTAACAAGCGCGCGCACACAATACAATCTTGAAAAAGTTCCTAAAGTGACTGCCAACCAGTTACACATCCCCCACCTTTCAGCCATGGACTCTTCCCTGGAAAAATGCTAGCCCACGTTGTCTCTAGGGGTATCTCGCATGTCTCCAGGGGTCAGGGGGTGTTACAAATGCAGTCTATAAAGAGAATTCAGCAGTGAGAGAGAATAGAACTTAGCAAATAATTATTTTTTGGAGTCTAAACAGGATCCTTGAAGCATTTATTTTCAAGTTTTTCAGACATAAGTGGGGTGGTGATTGATGCAGTACTGCAAGGGTGGCTGCTAATCTTTCCTAAATCCTGTACGGGGATTGTACCGTAAATAGTCACATACTGACCTTTAGGGTCCATGTCTCTGGTAAGCCTTCTGTCCATAGGTGGTGGTGGAAATTGATTTGGTGCTTGCATGAGTAACACAGGTATGTCGCTGCAATCCACTGCAAGTTGGATGGACAAGTGAAGTTGTGCACATGGCACATGTTACTTTATTCATGATGTGGTGATGGAGGATTTATTGATCAATGTTATATTAGAGGAGTAGAGGAGTGTCATCTTAAGTGCTACAGTATATACTTATATATATATATATAGTATATATACTGTGTGTGTGTATTGTGGGAACTCGCTTCAAGGTGGTAGAGCCTTTTAAACGCACACAGCTACTCGCTTTCTTTAAGGGCCTTTTTAGCCCACTTTTATTTAAGAAAGTTCAAAACAGAAATGATTCCCACACAGGGGTATCCACCATCAAGAAAATTTAGTTTTCAGCCTCCTGGCTTGTACACAGTTTTAAGTCTGCCTCCTGCAGACTCTTCCCAAAATATGTCACTAGCACACAGCTAGTCTGGCTTCCACCTGACTCCAAGGCAGAGACCTCCCGTCTGCCGGGGTGGAGCCCTCCTGACTCCGTTTGCCGGGGTGGAGCCCAGAACCATGGCCTGGCCTCCCCTAAAAGGCCTGCACACACCTGTGCAATCCGCACACTGGCTGCTCCCAAAATATGGGCCCAGGATTGGAGATTTCATCCCTCCCAAATCTCTAAGAAATCTCCAGGCTACAGGTCCCAAAACAGGCTTTATCAACCAAAGAGGAAACTGATAAACCAGTTTCCTCTGCATTAAGAGATCTGCCTGGAGCCCCTCATCCTCTATGGTTGAGAATCCTGGGTCTCCATCGTGCTTTCCACCGTGGCAGGATACCGCACTGCCACAGTATATATATATAAATAACTAAAGACTTTATATATCAACTCTATATTTGTCTTTCTGCCAGCTGCAGTTTTATAATTGATAAATGGTATGCATGTATGAGTTTTTTTTTCACATTTGTATGGATATTGTTTAAGTTAAAAAAAAGGACACAGAAGAAACTACAGGATGTGTTTTGCAGTTGTGTGTATCTGTGTGGGTTTCTTTTTAATAGCCTAATGGGAAAAGGACGGTATGATCCAGGACAGATATAAAAGAAAGTAATAAAAGGATCAAAGCATAGAGATGGAGAGCAAGACTCGAAAAAAGAGAAAATAAAAAAATGAGGTGGAAGGGTGGGACAGAAACGTGAGGAGTGCAAGTAAAGTTGGGCAAGTATCAGAAGAAGAATAAATTGCTGGATGATTTTTTAACATTTTATATTTTTTCTCCAGCTGGAGCATCTGTAAATGCTTTCTTAGAAGCAGTTGATATACAGCAAGTTCTAGATGATTGTTAGGTTTCAAGGCTCCTATATATAAACCCCATATAGCTATATAACAGACTTTCTTTCTCTTAAGTCATATACAGTATTGAGGCAACCCTGGAATGTGTCGTATTGATTTGGAAGAACCTAATCTCCCATTATATCCAACGTTATGTGGTCATTTGATGGCGCTTGAGTATTGGGATTTTCTCAATTGGTTTAAAGCTGCATAGACTATATCCTTCCCTCTGTATTGGTTTCCATTGGCCTACACACAGTTTGGATCAATTTAACAGAAAACCTGTTTGTTTAACATGTCATATGGAAATATGAGGTCCTGAAGAAGCAGTTTCTGACCGCGAAACATGTTGACTGTGTAACCTATGACATTACTGTTTTTTGAACAAAAAAAACTTTTTGCTGTGAAAATGTTCATATGAATCATATTGACTGTAAACCCTTCTGTCTGGGTATTTTATGAGACTTTTGTAAATAAGCTTTTAGTATTTTATATACTTGTATTTTTGATTGTTTACCAAGAGGTCACCCTAGACTACCTGTTTCTATTTATTTTCACTTTGCATTTGTTTTTGGGTTGTGACCTACCGGTAAGTCTGGATCCCTTTCACATATACATATATCTAGTATTCCAACATGAATTAATCCAGGATGCCTACTGTTAGTTAGACAGCTGGCTGCCCTAGTTGGGAGGGAAGGGTTATTGCAGTTCCCGCACTTTTTCTGAGCTCTGCCTCTCTCCCTGTGCTGTAAATAAAACGGGTGACGGCTCTCTCGAGTCTCAGTCTGCTGCATGGGAAGAGGACACAGACCTCCAATATGTAATCTCCAGCTGCTTACAGAGAGCTGTTTCTGCCAGGGGGCTCCCTCTCTGGGAAACCTTCTGCTGAACACTGCAACCACCACCATGTAGGGGGACTGCTGGCACCTGCAGTGCACCCTGAAGATACCAGCATCATGGACTTTGCCATGTATGGACTCTTCCTGTGCAGGCATGCTGGGGCAATCCAAAGCTGTAGTTAGGGTTTTCGAGAGGTAAAGACTGTTTGCCTGCTGTGCTGAAGTTTTTTTAAGTAAAGCACTGAAACCTTGTCATGCCTGGTCCGAAGTTATTTAAAGAGGGGTATATGAAAGTAACAGGCATGCTATACATAGACTTTGCAATCCAGTTCAGCTAAGGTACATTGATATATAAAGAGTCAACATGTTACAAACAAGTGGTTACAGGTGGTAAAGGAAGTCTAGCAACCAATCTCAACAGACTCTCTCCCAACTGTTCTCAGCAGCTATAGAAGTAGGCCCCACAGTTCTCCCTGAGCTGGAACATCATTGAATCTCCTGCAATCTTCATCTAAATTACCCAGGAGGGCAGACAGCTACTCCAGGCTGCTCTTGGTACTAGGGCAAAAGACCCTGCTGTTCCAGGTCCCATACTATTAATACACACCTCGAACCCCTGATGGTCATCCCCTTGACCAGGGATTGGCTGAGGCTGTATGAATATCCAGCCCAGCCCATATGGAAGAAAAATATATTTGAAATATATTTAAAAAATATTCGTCCAAAATATATTGCTATATATTTGAAATGCTACAATTTTGGCCATATTCAATATATTAAAAAAACAAAACAAAACATATATATATATATATATATATATATATATATATATACTACATGTTGAAATGCATTTTTATTACAGAATATATGAAAAATATTTAAAAAAATACATTTTAAATATACTGTATGTCTTTAAAAATACAAATCTACATTTCTGGAATGCATTTGCAAATATACGTAAAAATATATGTTAAAATGGCTTTTTTATATGTTAACCACCTCCCGCCACGCTGACAGCTCGAGAGGAGAGAAAGTAATCGGCATTCCGCGGAGGGGGCATCTACACTGATCATCAGAGCACTGATGATCAGTGTGCCCTGATGATCAGTGTAGCCCCAGCAGTGCCACCTGTTAGTGTCCATCAGTGCTTGCTGTCAGTGCTCATCAGTGCCACATGCCAGTGCCCATCAGTGCCACATCAATGCTGCATATCAGTGCCTACCAGTGCACACCAATGCCACATATCAGTGCCCATCTGAGCTGTCTTTCATTGTCACTGATCAGTGCCAGTCAGTGCCACCTATCAATGCCAATCAGTGTCACCTATCAGTGCGCATCAATGCCGCCTATCAGTGCTCATCAGTGCCTCCTAACAGTGCCAGTCAGTTCCACCTATCAATGCCAGTCAGTGCCGCCTATCAGTGCCATATATCAGTGCTGCCTTTCAGTGCCCATCAGTGATGCCTGTCAATGCCCATCAGTGCCACCTACCAGTGCCTCCTCATCAGTGTCCATCAGTGCAGCCTATCAGTGCCCATCACTGCAGCCTCATTAGCGCACATCAGTGACGCAGAAAAATCACATATTTACAAAATTTTATAACAAAAATGAGGAAAAAACTTTTTTTTTTTACATTTTCAGTGGTTTTTGGTTTGTTTAAGAAAAAATAAAAACCCAGAGTTGATTAAATACCACCAAAATAAAGCTCTGTCTGTCTAAAAAAAATGATAATTCCATATGGGTACAGTGTTGCATGACCGCGCAATTGTCATTCAAAGTGTGACAGCACTGAAAGCTGGAAATTGGCCTTGGCAGGAAAGGGGGTATAAGTGCCCTGTAGGCTTGTGGTTAACAAAATATGAAGAATATATTAAAAAAAAATATATATTTTTACAAATATATTTTTTTTAAATATATTCTTCAGATTTTTTTTAACATATAAAAAAATTTTTAACATATATTTTTACATATTTTTGTAAATGCATTCCAAAAATGTAGATTTGTATTTTTAAAGACATACAGTATATTTGAAATTTATTTTTGATCATTCTCTGGTATTGCTGACTTCACCAGGACTGGGAATCAGACACCCTCCGCTAACCTGGAGGTTCCTAACATGTTTAGCCTCAGATGAATCCTTTGTTTCACATCTTAAAACAGAATTGAAGTAAATTTTTAAGTTTCCCCAATTAGCAAACTTATATTAACTACTTTAGGCTGACTGGAATGAAATCCTCCAAATACTCTTTGAGTAGATAGTGATGTAATTATATGTAGCGGCATCATTCACACCTGCAGAGTGCCATGCCTTGTTTAGGTTACAGTTATCTCTGGCAAATCTCCTTTCCTTTCTGAAACTCCATGTGACTAACAACAGGTTAGAAAATTCTCTAGTGATGCTAAGTGAGGATAGCATATGCAGAAGCTGTTTTTTACTTACACTTATATTCTCATTTGTTTACAACTTGCCTTGATGTTGATAACATGTCACAACACCATGACAACCTGAAATCCAAAGCAAGGCTTGAATCACTTTGGGTCCCCTGTTTGTTCTGAGCTTGTATTTTGAGCACAACCCCTGCTGACACCATATACCATCATATACCCTTGACCAGGAGGAATCCCTGGCTATGAAACACAGAATAATCACAAAGTTTAAGGTGAACTAATATTCTGAATGTATTGAAGTCAGAGTGAAAATAAAGAAGACACAAAAGAGACAATGGTAGATGTGCAGAAAAAAAACGAATTACTCTGAAAAACTTGGTCAAAAGAGACATACACAGTATCGCTTTAAATATACCCCCAACTGGCCTGCAGGATCAGAGTTTAAATGTTAATTCCAGCCCTGAGAAGTTTCTTTCCAAGTGAGCTGAAATAAAGAATAAGAAGAAATCAGACTAACTCACCTATGGTTTCTCAATGACTAGAAAGAGGGTTTAACTCTTGAAATAGATTTACATGTAATGACACCTTCTTTAATATTACCCCCAAACATAGGAACACATTCTTCTGCATGCCTGATGGGGCCCTTGTTGGTGCACATTAGAGTTCTTTTGGGTGGAAACAGGATCTCCTGGGTAGAGTATGGTAGCAAGAAAAACTCGCCTAGACTGATGATAAGGGATCTGGGGAGGGACCCTTTGTTGAGGAAGATGAAGGCAAGAATTGTTAAAATTGAGAAAGGGGCAGGAGTAGATTGCAGCAGAACTAAAATTGGCCTGAGCTAGCAAGTTCTTTAAAAGCTGGGCTAGGTTTGGGTTGAGATATTATCAGTACTACCACCTGCAAGGACAAACGTGCAACAGTAAGTGTCCTGCATTCAGAGAAATGGAGGGGGGAAACACTTGAACAGCAGGCAGCAGTACTGAAATGGGCAAACTGTGATGTAAGATGTACTGAACTGAAGCAGCTGAAAACAGCAGAATCTCATGTATCTGGACACAGTTTGGGTTGTGGAATCTGTAGTTCTAGTAGAGTGGAGAACAGTTTTTCAGTTGGAGAGACCCCTTTGGAAGAAACGATGACGATCATGGTAACACAATCCGCCTGCCAACAATTTGTTATCCTTCTTTCCGGCTCTTTGGTGTGACCCAATCTGGCCTGGGCCCTCCGAGTCTTGCACTAGCATCCTGCACACGTTCTCACTCCCACACAGTCTCTTTCCTTCCTTCCCCGTATGTTCCCGGGCTCCAGATTATATAGGCTCCTGACCAGCTCTTCTGGGAAATGTAGCCTGCTTTTAGCCTGTCCGGCTACATCAGTCCTGCCTTCAGCACCAAAGTTTGGTAATGCTTTGCTAAACCCAAGTCTGTGGTAACTGAGTAGAAATATAGGGGGTCTAATAATTAATGTTCTTATACACATATATATACTGTCATTTCTTAAAAGAGCTTTTAATGCATTTGCTTTTTCTTTCACTCAGAAAATGTGGTTTGAAGTTTGCGCCTGTGATGTAAGCATCTAGCCGGCTATCATGGCTCTCTTCCTCTTTCAAGGTTAAGAAAAGCATCTTATGGTCAAACCAGTTTGAACCAGCAACTGTCATGATGGATGACCACAAGTCTCTATTCTGGATTAATCACATGATGTTAACACCCACTTAACGCTGAGCTTGCTGTTAAGCATATAAGGATTTGATTGGATTAAAACTATATGAACACGCCTGGACCTTATACGATCACGCCCAGACCTTATGTCTATATACAGGTGAAACTCAAAACATTAGCCAAGAGAAAGATGAGAGACCAAACAATGCAGAAGAGCTGAAGGCCGCTATTGAAGCATCCTGGTCTTCCATAACACCTCAGCAGCGGCACAGGCTGATAGCTTCCATGCCACGCTGCATTGAGGCAGTAATTGCTGCAAAAGGGGTCCAAACCAAGTACTGAGTACATATGCATGCTTATACTTTTCAGAGGTCCGATATTGTTCTATGTACAATCCTTGTTTTATTGATTGCATGTAATATTCTAATTTTCTGAGATTGTGGATTTGGGGTTTTCATGAGCTGTAAGCCATAATCATCACAATTATGACCAATCACGGCTTGAACTATCTTGCTTTGCATGTAATGAGTCTATCTCATATATTAGTTTCACCTTTTAAGTTGCATTCCTGAAATAAATGAACTTTTGCACAATATTCTAATTTTTCGAGTTTCACCTGTATGTAATAGTCTAAAGGTTAAGAGTTCAGATATATTTTGTTCACCTTGGTTCATCTCATACGAAGTGTACTTTTGTATGCTATATTATCTCCACTGCAGTGTAATAAATGCACCCTTCTTTATCAATTTGGACTCACTATCTCATCTGAAAGGTCTCGCTTGTGGACCCCCTAACCTGACTCGACATAACTAAACTGTGAACCACCGCAATCTTGTGGTCAATCAAATCCTGCAAACAGTAAAAGTGTGTTACATACAGGATTTTTGGATGATGTGAGTTGAGGGTAAAAGCAAAGCTAAAGAAAACAAACACCAGTGAACTTCCACAATGGCTTCGGACTAGATGAGCACAAAAGGGCCACAAACAAAAATAAAGTAAGCTTCATAATAATGTTTTCAGTGATTAGTGAGTGCTATTTTATTTTTATGAATGGAGTTATGACTTTCTATGGCGGTTTAATTCTGCCTTAAGAGCTGCAGTATACATTTTCAAAAAGTAATGTTATGCATACTGACAACTCATTCCTTTTTTGGGAAGCAGTGTGTCAGGGATCCCCTCGATCCCCGCCACGATGGTCCCGGCGCAGGCGCAGTATGCCGCCCTGTGCAGGGACGCGAGCTCTAGGTCCGGGCCGGCCGCGGCGCGCGAGTTCGCGCATGCGCAGTAGGAGCCGCGGCCACCCGCTGGGCACCAATGGCAGCGCAGGGCGCGATATTTAAACGCCCCTGAGCTGTCATTCGGTGCCTTCTGGTCTCGTCCTTGTCCTGCATCCTGTATCCTGAACCTGAACCTGTACCTGTAAGTTGCTGACCCGGATTGTACCTGACCACTGCTGAATTCTCCTGCCCAGACCCTTGCTTGCCTGACCTCTCTTCCGTATGTCCCCTATTGGATCTGACCTACTGTTGATGACCTGGCGTGTGACCCGACTATTCTCTGCCCGCTGCCTTGTACCGTACTGTCCTCCCCGTTACCGACCCGGCTTGCCTGACTCTGCACTTGCTCAGCCATCCATCCATCCATCCCTCTCAGCGGGGTCTCCAGACCTCCTCATATCAGGCTCTCTCCCGTGGGAGCCCCTGGCGAACACCCCTACCACTGACGGGTATCCTCAGTAAGCACGACCGGTACTCCAAGTCCATCCCCACCATCAGGGGCCCTGGTGAACAAGTACTCTGGGACTTAGACTCCGTGCGCTGGGGACGCCTGATTAGTGGAGTGCTAGTGGTGTCGCCGGGCGGTCCCTTACAGTACCAGAAGGCCATGACTGAGCCTAGAGGAGGGCCCTCCCCCGCTGGAAGAAATTTGCAGGCATCTATCTAACCTGACGCAGGCCGTAGCAGCCCTGCAGGATAAATGTATGCAGCTGGAAAACCGCTTCCAGACCTGCTCCCTATCTGACCCCAGCCCCACAGGCCACCCCCGGTTTCTGCACCCCCCGGCGGCTCTTGAGCCAGCATCAGGGGCCTCTGCCCCGCTACCTATGGCGGAACCCCGGGTACCCTTACCGGAGCGTTTCCACGGGGACCGCACACGCTTCAGGTCGTTCCGTGAGTCCCTGCCTCCTATTTTTTTGAACTTCAACCCCGTACCTTTTTGACTGAATGAGTGAAGGTGGGATTTATAATCTCACTGTTGCAGGGCGAACTCCAAGATTGGGCCCATCGGCTAAGAGGAAACAATGACCCACACCTAGGAACAGTCAAGGACTTCTTTGAGGCGATGGCCATCCTATATGATGACCCGCAGCGGGCTGCTTCTGCCGAAGCAA